TGTGTGTTTGCAGAGCTCTGCTGAACAGCAGCAATTCTGCTCCAGACACCAACAGGACCTGAATTCATGCGAATGTTTGTCCTCAGCAGGATAAAAAGTCAACCTCTACTTGATAAATCTCATACCTATGTCAATAAACAAAACTGCATGTGAACACATACCCCCACAGGTTTCACCCGTGCCAAGGAACATGGGACCGCCTGAGCAGGGAGCTTCAGGTAGCAGCACCTACAATACACAGCAAATCCATGACAGCAAAAACAGGGAAAAATCAGCACAAGAGCAGAAATTCCTCCTCTTCTGGGCTCTAAAACTGGCTTAGGAATAGAGCAGCACACATTGGATTGTGCACTTACAGCTAAAACCCAACAGCAGCTTTGGAAAGCACCCAGAGAATGGGCTCTTCAGAAACAGCAATAACAACTGGTCCCTTATGCATTCCCTTGCCCTTCCCATCAAAACCCCTCGTGGAGACAAATTTATGGACAGAGAGCAATGACTTTTGAACGAAAGAATGCCAATGGCCAGGCAGGAAAAGAGGCAAATGAGGGGGAAGATGTAACCATGGAAAATGTGCTGAACTACAAAGAATAAGTACCTCTGGCACGGCAAATGTGTCCCCCTTGGAGGCACATTCGTTCAGGAGGGCGTTAATATCCATTCATGGAACCCAAGGAGGAGGATTAGGGAGCTTGCCCCAAGGTGACAGAAAGCAGCAAGAGGACAGACTGAAGAATGAAGGCAGAAACAGCAAAGGATTTAGCAGTGTAGCCCAGGGGTCAATGCTGGGTCCAGTATTGTTCAGTGTCTTCATTAATGACCTGAGTGATTGGGGTGGGTCTACCCTCAGTCTGCTGATGCGGGGAGGAGTGGCTGATACTCCAGAGGGTCAGGCTGCCATCCAGAGGGAGTTCAACAAGGTAAAGAAATAAGCAGAGAGAAACCTCACAAAATTCAACAAAGTCCTGTACTGAGGAGGAACAACACTACACACCAGCACACGTCTGGGGCCAACGGTGGCATTTGTACCGTGAGGGTGACCAAGCACTAAAGGGGTTTCCCAGAGAGGATGTGGAGTCTCCATCCTCAAAAACACTCAAAAAAACCATCTTGACATGATCCTGCCAGGATGACCTCCAGATGTCTATTCCAGCCTCAGCTGTTCTGCAGTTCTATTACCCGTGTGTCATTTACTTACTTGAGGAACCTCAGCCAAGACTTTCTGACAACTTGCAGGTGTCCATAATCTGCATAGAACACCTCCACTTCCCTGTCGCTGACCACGCGGTGGACGACGACGCGGTACCACCACCTGGAGACCACGGCGCAGCAGAGCTGCCCAGGCCGCACTGCAGCCTCAGGCATGATGTAACGGTCAGAAACAACCTTCCGGGAGTAAACGTGTCTGTAAAAGAGAAACTGCACTTAGTAGGATGCAGGAGGTGACCTAGGAGAAATATACAGGCTATTAGAAGAGTCCTGATTTCCCTAAGTCGCCACAACGTGAATTTTCAGGAGTTGTTTTAATAGATCTTTTATATCTCTGTTCTGCCATACTTCAACTGAAATGACAATAAAAAAATGAAAACATAAACTTTTCACATTTCAGTGTTATTACTGCTAATTGATGGGGGTTAGTTAGAGGCTAAACAGTCATTCTAATCATTACAAACTTTTCACATTTCAGTGTTATTATTGCTAATTGATGGGGATTAGTCAGAGGCTAAACAGTCATTCTAATCATTAATTGCAGCTTTACCTTGACATGTCAGTGTTTCTGAGGAACCAGGCTCTGGAGCACTGGCTCACATACAGTGTTGGAGATGGAAGTAAAAACCTTATCTGAGCACATTACCAACAGCAGCACAGACAAGGCAAAGGAACCTCCTTTCCATAAACTTCCCAGGCTTTTAAAAAGTTTAGGAATGCCTAGGACACAGACAAACTACCAGGAATTGCTATTGACCACACTAACTGCTTGTTAGGTAAGAGGAATGGACAAGCATTACGTGTGTCTTTCAGTACAGCATCAGCATCTCCCTAACAAGTAATGCAGACAGCAGTGCCCATCACCAACAGCTGTGTGCCCTGTCCCCTCAGCACACAAACACATACTTCATCTCCAACATCAGATCCTGCAGTTCATGAGATGATTCCCTGGTGGAGATGTGGACGTAGAACAGGCTGGGAGAGACGACACATTCCACAGAGACTCCCACCATGAACCCTGCCTTCAGTGGTGGCAAACTGCAAAGGCTTCTGTCCCAAACAGCATCTGGAGGGATTTCTGGAGCCAGTGTCAACTTGCCTAGTAGAGACTGCAGAACATCTTGAGGCTACAAGGGGATAAGAGGAAGGTGGCAGTCAGATGTCTCCTCATGCACTGAACACACATAGTAGGCCTTTCCAGTATGTTATAAAGATAGCTCTGCTTTCCTGGGGACCTGTGAATTACTGAACACCAGAAAATCCCAGCCTGGACTAAAACTTTCCCTGGGATAGAAGTATTCATTTTCACACTGTCATTCTTCCTTCCCTCCAGTGTAATGAGGGATGCAACAAACATACTTTGCTCATGTTCCTGCAAGGAATAAAGGAGAGGAATTGAAGTCATGTCACATACTTAGACTAAAGTAGTGAAAGTTTAACCTCAGCCAGCAGCCAAGAACCACGTAGCCTCTCACTCACTCCCCCACCAAGGGGATGGGGGAGCGAATTAGAAGGGTAAAAGCTACAAAAATTCATGGGGTGAGATAAAGACAGTTTAATAGAGGAAGCAAAAGCTGCACACACAAGCAAAGCAAAACAAGGAATTAATTCACTGCTTCCCACAGACAGGAGGTGTTCAGCCATCTCCAGGAGAACAGGGCCCATCACGTGTAACAGTTCCTTGGGAAGACAAACACCATCACTCCAGATGTCCTCCCTTCCTCCTTCTTCCTCCCACCTTATATACTGAGCATGATGTCCTATGGTATGGAATATCCCTTTGGTCAGTTTGGGTCACCTGTCCCAGCTGTGTCTCCTCCCAATCTCCCATGCATCCCCAACCTCTTTCCCAGCATGGCAGTATGGAAACCAGCAAAGGCCTTGACTCTGTGTGAGCTCTGCTCAGCAATAACAAAAACATCTCTGCATTATCAACTCTGTGTTCTGCACAAAACCCAAACATAGCCCCATTCTAGCCACTGTGAAGAAAGTTAACTCCACTTCAGCCCAAACCTGCACACTATTGTTACAAAAGCAAAACAAAACAAAAATCCACACCAAAAAACCCGAAACCCAAACCAAACCCAACCCACCTATTTGCCAGATTTTACTGAAAAGATATTATTTCTGTGTTCCTTGACCATGATAATGACAGGATTGAAACAGCAAAGCTATCTGAAAAATGATTCAAAGGGGACAGAAGGCACACGTGCATCACACTTTCACACCAGAGCCATTTCGCAAGGATAAAACCAAACAAAACCTACCAATTCTGCTCTTTTCTCACTCTAGACAAATGTGTACAGGAGTGAGCTGTTAGCACAGCTTTCAATTTTGTTCTTCTAACTGCTGTCATTTCAGCAGTTATTCTAACTGCTGAAAACATTATCACTTGAACTAGGATGGATGGGAACCTTAATCAGACATCAACTACTTTCATTGCCTCAAGATCTTTCTTTTGTGCCAGCAAACATCACTCCTCCAACGATCAGAAGTCAAAGATATTTCAATTTCACTCATTTTGAACATACTACAAATTATCCCTGCATCAGGCAAGGTGTGGGCAATTTGTCTCCCGTTGCTTACCTGGCCAAATTCAGCTGCAGACAATGGAGGTTTGCAGTATTGGCTCTTTTAACCACAGTTTAAAGAAGCAGATCATTGAGCCATAGAATATCCTTAGCTGGAAGGGACCCACAAGGACCAACAAAGTCCAGCTCTTGGCCCTGCACAGGACACCCTAAGAATCTCAGAGTTCCTGACCTCTAAAAGCCCTTACAATTTCAGGGATTTCCTCTAAGTAGTGACTGTGAATGGTGGCATTTCTAGGGGACAGTTTCGCTCTGATAATGCTCTTCATATCAGGCTATTAAGGGCACATATGAGCTTTATCATCTAGCTCACACACTGGTAATGACAACAGACATTTCTTGAAAGATGTGTGCTTGAAAACATGTTCATAAACTCCAACAAAATTATAAATAAAAAGATCAACTGAACAGTGTAAAGCTAGGCCTACAAGAGGTATAGCTTGCAAGAGTGGCTAACCCCTTGCCCTAAGCTGGACTGGCAGCTGCCAAGAGTGGTGTGGATGACACCTTTCCTTCTGCTCAAGGTGCTGAGAAAAAGGTGCTGACAGTAACATATTCTTTATCCTTCTCAGGACTGAGCAGATAGACTCGGCCCTTATCCCTCACCTATCCCTTCAAACACTCCCACTATTAGTCTCTGGATACCTAGTAGAAGGGCAGGGATCAGGTTGCATCTTGTCCCTCTACTTTGCAGCATCCTCATGAACAAGTGTTCATTGCACACTGAACTAACATTCCAACCTGCTTTCCTCCTCTTAAAACTAACAGCAAACTTGGTGTTTCAAGACAAACAGTAGCTGCAAAAGCATCTTCCAAGCCTTATCCTGCCAAGACCATTAAACAGGTTCCCTTTGCAATACCTAAGAACAAAAACCTGGAGCTAGCTGAACCATATCCTTCCTTTTCCAGTCTTTGCACAAGCAGACTTGGTTTGATCTAGGGGAATTCCCTGTGGATATCATCACACCTAACTAAAACTTCTTTAAAGGATCAGAATAGCCTTGCCAAAAAATCTCCTAAGGGTATGTTTTATCAAGTGCTGCATGAAGTCCAACTCACAGTTCTAGGCTTCCAAGTTCATTAGTGACTGACCAAAGTCAGGAAGAACCCCTGGGATTCTTTCATTACTTATGTGCCAACTGTACTGTTGCATATAGCCACAAGATGAACTTGGCAGAGCAAACAGCTCTCAGTATGAAGATTTTCCTGGGAAAAAGAAGGCCTAAAGATGCTCAAAAGAAAAAATAAAGGAAGGACAAACAAATTCTCTCACTAAGGTTTGGCAGCTCAGAGCCTTTGTACTGCTTTTCTCCATCCCCTTCTAAAAACACACTGCTAAGCAAAACAAAACAATCAAAATTCCCAAAGTCCAACCAAAGAACAGAGTTGAGGCTACAGGAATCAAGGTGATGAATCAAGGAGGAGAAGTTAACTCTATCCCAGCTGAAACCAGGACAAACAGGCACAAAACCTTTTAGAAGCAGCAGTGCATCAACAATGTAAACTCAACAAAGATGGTAAAAAGAGTATCAGCTGTTGGCATCAGACACAAAAAATGTACAGGTCATTTGTCCAGCCACTCACTTGTTTGAGGCAATCACCCAAATCTACTGCTTGTGTTTCCAGTGGCTCTGACTTCATCTCAACTGCTGCCTGGTAGAAGCTCTCTTTCTCACACCTGGGCTCCAAAGGAGGCATCTCAGCTGCAGATGTTGCTGCAATGATAATTTGGCTATGCTGCATATTAAGCAGAAAAACATCTGAAAATGAAAGTCTGATAACATTGGTGCTGTTTTCCTCACCTCTTGCAGCATTCACAGCCACCAGAGTCATGAGGATTCACTGTATGAGTAAGTTTAAACAAAACAAAACCCACTTGCTCCCATAAGCACATTAAGGGTTAAAACAATTGCTTAGAATGCTGCTAAAATGAATTTTCCCCAGAAAAGCCAGGAATTTGGCAGGAACTGTAAGTGATCCTCTGCCTTCTCATGTAGCTCTTTATGGGAATGCTGAGGACATCTGCAGTCTTGTCTCTTTTGTGGAGCTGTGCCTTTGGGGCTAGTGTTAAATCTTCAGTGGGTATCAGAAAGGCTTTACCAGCCTGCAGAGCATGTTCAGGAAATCCTTCTAGTTTTGTCACCTATTGCTTGGAGTGACTAGAAATTCCAGTCCTCCACATACATTCAGAGAGTCCATGCTCTGAACAGGCTAACCATCCCTTCTTTCACCTCAGACCAAAAACCAGTGGCAACATGTAGAAAACTTCAACTTAAATTCTCTGCTACCCTAAGACAACTGCCTTGTGCCAGCAGCTTCTGCAGCACACCACAGCTCCCCTGTGCTACAGCCTGGGGGAAGCAGAACTAGTACAGCAAGTGGAAAGGCAGCAACAGCCACCTGAGACACAGCTGCTTGGCCTCAGTGCTTGTAAGAAAGAGCTACATGCTTTCAGTTAAACACATCACCTCACCTTGCTGCACCTCTTCTTCCTGAGCCTCACCTTGGGGCACATCCTCTTCCTCCTGAGCTTCACCTTGAGGCACCTCTTCTTCCTGTGCCTCACCTTGGGGCACATCCTCTTCCTCCTGAGCTTCACCTTGAGGCACCTCTTCTTCCTGTGCCTCACCTTGGGGCACATCCTCTTCCTCCTGAGCTTCACCTTGAGGCACCTCTTCTTCCTGTGCCTCACCTTGGGGCACCCCACTTTGAGACATCTCTTCTTCCTGAGCCTCTTGAGCCTCATCAGAGTCCATGAGCAGAAGAGGTGAGGAACTCAGCAGGTCCTGCTGTTCAGCCTTCACAGCTGCAGACTGGACAGGAGTCCTGGCACTCAGAGGGGAACGCTCTGGATTCCAAGAGTCATTATAGGGAGAAGCAGCATTTGCCTTCGCAGCAGTTCTCTTCCGTGCCCTAATACACGTTCTTGTCTTCTGTCTGGCAATCAGCTGGGCAATCCCTTTGGTGGTGTCATCTGCAATGGCTACAACAGAAAGGAATAAACAGACAAGCAAAGCAATGAGCCATTAAAGCCTTTACACTGGCAAAGCTCCTCTTCATTCCTCTCTTTCCCCTTCCCCTCACCTCTTTCACAAACAGGTGCTTCCTTTCAAAGCAGCCACACTAAATTGTGGCTGATTTCTCCCTCTGCAATCTGGACTGAACCATTTTTAACAGCCAACAACCAGTCTGCACCTTCATCCCTATAAATTCAGGTCCAGGTAGGAAGGCAGGTCAAATTCTTGGATGCAGGATCACAAATGAAGCCAAACTGCTGAGGGTTTTGCTGGTGAAGCAGAACCACAGTAAACTCTCACTACAGAGCACCCCCCTGCCCAGGGAAAGTCTCCCTGGAGAGCAGCCCAGGTCTTTTCCATGCTTTTAAACATTTTCCTCTCTCTTCCACTTCCACTCAAAAAACCCCAAACCAACCCAACTCTTTCACCCTTCCCAACCAACTCATTGCACCTATCATTTGTTTTCACAACTCTTCCTGAAAGAAAAACAAAAAGGTTCTTTGATACAGACTGAACTTCCCATGGGGTTAGGTGGGGAAGCATTTACAGCTTCTCCGAGAGGCTCCATCCCTGGCTTTGGCTTCTGATGCAGGAAGGAATTCCCACTTACAGGAAAAATGTTTACCACTTCTAGGGCACCCACAGGATATGCTACCTCAGAGCTTCTAAACTAAGTGCAGAATGCAAAGATGTACATAAATAACTGGAAGGCTGTGTGATTTTTCAGGAGGCAAGAGAAGAAAGGAGTGTTAAAATGCCTTCTAACAAAATCGAAGTACAGGAAGAAACACCAAGGAGAAGAAATTAAACAGAGCTGTATGAGACAAAGACTAATAGCTATGTGACATACAGCTCTGCCCATCTCTGTTTCAGAGGAGGACTTCATACCAGGCTGAGGTTCCAAACAACTCCTCCACCTGTAAGGAAACAAACTCTCACCTTTAAGGATAAGAGTGCCATTCCTGGAAGAACAGACTTTGACCACGTCAGGCATGAGTGCCACCAGCTCCAGGGTGGACTGGACGCCCAGCTCACGCAGAGGGAGAGGTTTGCAGGTCATGGCCATGTACTGCTCCTCCAGCTCTGCCGGCGTTAAACCCCCTTTGGCCGCTGTGAGCAACGCTCTCACCTCCTTCTTCAGCACCTCCATAACTGCGTCTGCTTCGACCTATCCGGACTACAGGGAGAAACAGAAGCAAACAGGTTATTGTTATAAATTGCGGCCCAATAAATTGGCAGGAGCTAGTTCAATTAGGAAATTTATTGATTGAGCAAGGCTTCAGCGAGCAAAACAGCGCTGTGCGGCCGGGGAGTCTCTGCTCCGCACACCCACCTGCCGCAAAGTCTCCGGTTTGAGACTCCTCCCGCTCCGTGTGGCTCTGCCGCTGCACTCTGCGCCCGCGCGAGCTGTTGCTAGGGACGCAGTTCCCCTTGTTGCTAGGGACGCAGTTCCCGTTG